GTCTTGCAGCAAATCAACCAGCACATTTAACTAGCAGACATGCAGAGTTGCAAACAGTGCAAAGCAGGCACAAGACTACAGAAACAGAGAATTTGTTTTTGAAAAAAGTATGATTAACTTTGAACTTTGAACTTTGGATTTAGTAATTCAAGTTCATAACTTCACATATAACTTCAAAGTTCGAACTTTGCAGTTCAATTCAGAACGTCAGAGTCTTCAGACTGGCAGCACTGTCAGTGCTCTCTCTGTCTCTCTCTCTCTCTCTCTCTCTCTCTCTCTCTCTCTCTCTCTCTCTCTCTCTCTCTCTCTCTCTCTCTCCAACGGGCAGCAGCGGCAGGCGCCACGTCGAAACGACCGCTTTGAAATTGCTCGGGCCTGCGCGGAACCCGCCACCTCAAAACCTGCAGTGTCTTGTGTCTGGACCTCTAGGCCATGTCCGGTGGGGTGAAAGGACACTTAAAAATCACCCCGTTATTTTTCGAGGGGCGGCTAGGACCCGACAAACGTCCTGGGCCGCCCCATTTTTTTTATTTTTTTTTGCCCCAGGGGCCTCCATCCGGACATGGGAACCGGACACCAGACACTGGACACCGGACACCGGACTGTCTGGAACCCGGTCCGGACGTCCGGGCGGTTACCATGCAACCCTCCTTGTTCAACGCTTTGCAAAACTGATACCAGGCTTTGAGGAGATACAGGGCATGACGGCTTTCGGCAAAAGGCAAGCTCTCTGTCTCACTTACAAAAGCGAAATCGCCAGGCTTCGTCAGCCTGGAGGTCCTCTCCAGCAATGAACAGTCTTCTTCTAGTCGTTCACCCGCTTGAGCCTCTTCCTCTGACTCTCTTTCCATTGGCCTGTGCTTGGCAATGCCCTGACACAAAGAAGGAGAGGTGTGGTGTGTATCAGCAAAAAAAAGGCTCCTGTTTCAGCCTGCCCTGCAAGGCCAGCCTCCTCTGTCAAAAAGCGGCTGCCCTGCAGCCCAAGGATCAGTCAGCCTGCAGCAAATCATCTACGTCACACAAGGACTTTTTCCACTTCTCTGGGGACGTAATTTGCGGTCGGGGGTTCATCTAGCCGATGTCAGAAAAGTGGTCGTATACATCCAGGAAAGCCCTAGTGTGAGTAGGCCCTGATCTTTGCACTGCCCCACAAACCTGCCAGCTCTGTTCATAGGCCTGCTTGCAGAAGGTCCAGCAATGAGCCTGCACTCCACTTCTCTGCTCAAGGCTCGTCTCCAGAGAGGCCTCCCACCCACCAACTCTGTCAACAACCGCAATTACAGCCCAAGGGACCAGTCCAGTTGCTGCCACAACACAATTGCAGCCCCCATTGCAGCCCACATTGTATATAGCCCGCATGGCAGCCTACATTTGTATGTAGACCCCATGCAGCCCACATTGTATATAGCCCACATTGCAGCCCACATTTGTATGTAGACCCCATTGCAGCCCACATTGTGTATAGCCCCCATTGCAGCCCACATTGTATACAGCCCCCATTGCAGCCCACATTGTATATAGCCCCCATTGCAGACCAGAGTGTATGTAAGCCCAATTGCAGGACCCCTTGCAGGACCCCTTGCAACCCTCTTGCAGGACCCCTTTCAACCCCCTTGTGGCCCGATTTGCTGCAAGCCAATTTGCAGGCCCCCCATTGCAGCCCAAGGGATCAGCCTGGTGAAGAGATTTTTGGGCTGCAATTGCAGCTCAAGAGATCAGCCTGCAGCAACGATCCCCAGTCACCAAACTGCTCCCCTGTGTTTTGGATGGCCCGGCAGACCCAGCACTGCTGTAAACCCACCAATACCTGGAAGGTCGGGCTAGATTTCCCCCTGCAAGAGGCGTTGGTTGAGGTCATCAATGGAGGCCGCAGAAAGGTTTCGGCCTACTTGGGGGTTGCGCAAAATTTTGACCCAAATTTTGAGTGTTCAGCTTTGGCGATTTTTAATTCTCATTTCCATCGACAAAAAAGTAAGTATGACCAGCTGGCCTAGCTCAGTTGGTACACCCCCTCAACTGTTGAAATACAGACCAGGTGCTCAGTTCAAACTCCACCAGACACAGATGAGTAAGATACAGCAATTCTGAATTACCCAGGGCCGAAGAGTTTGACGACCGTATCTCAAGGTCGTCGCCCTTTTTCAAAAAAAAAAAGGAAAGAAAACAAAAGTAAGAATGAAAAAGCGCAAGGGTGTAGGGTAGGTTCCACTGTATCAGGGGAACATACCAGAAATTATTTTTAAAAAACGGTCCCCACGAGAAAGAATTTGGCGGTGGGCCATTCGACTTAGGTGCGCTTGGCCAGTGCCGGGTGTACTCCATTCATGACGGTGGAAAAAAAAGCTAGGCTACCAGAGTAGCCCGGGACCACTTCCCCGGCCGGGCCAAAAAATAAATAAAAACTATTTTTTGATTTTTATTTTTTAATTTCGGTAAATATTTTTATATATATATAAAAAGGGTGACGGCCTTGAGATATCATCATTGAGCTGACCGGCCCCAGGCCATTCAGGCAATTCAGAAATATCTGGTTTTATTCATCTAGAACCATCATCTGGATTAGAACTCTGGTCTGTATCGCAACAGTTCATGGGTGTGGTCCCCACTGAGCTAGGCTCTTGGGTTGGTAAAGAATTTCGATGTGACCCTGGGGCAAAAGTTGTTCAGTTTGAACATAGTTTTTTTTCCTTTTTCTTCCTTCTTTTTTTTTTTTTTTTGCTAGGACCTTCCCTGGTCCTTGCACGGCCCGGCCACCCGGGAAAAGAGGGTGACCCGGGCAGCCCGGCTGGTAGCCTAAAAAAAAAAGAGAACAAGTTCAACAATAACAATTCCAAGACTCGTACCACCCCGTTAAGCAGGCCTCTCTAAAACATGGAGTTAAAATAAAAAAATAAAAATAAATTTAAAAAAAAGAAGAAGAAGAAGAACAAGGTCCAATCAGACTCGTCTTCTTTCTTACTCAGCATGCATGAAACAGATGGCAATCACACTGGCGACAAGTGCCCACACAAAGCTCAGAGATATCGTGGCCAACAACACACTTCAGATTCAACTTGCTTCGAATGGCTATGGCGCCTGTGCGCCCTCACAACACCCTTTCACGCTGTATCCTCAGCAACAGTTCACACGCACGCTACTCTGGATCTCCCTGGATGTCCCACACACGCTCACAACTCACTGCACACTCATACACAAACACACTGTAGCCTATCTCTAACGTAGTGCGGCTATGGTAGAGCGCAGCTATGGCTGCTGGCTAACCCTACCACTAACTAGCGGCTATGGCCGCTTCGTCCCCCTCTCAGCCCACTTCTTCCTCGACACCTGCAGACCTCCTTGCACAAGTCGCTCAGGCAGCGCTTCCGCACGGCTCACAGCCTGAATGAATGAATAACTGGACGCTGCATATACTTCGGTTGGTCGCTGGTCTGCTCCTTTCCTTCAGGCCTAGGATGCACACAGTCCCACATGGTACTTGCTGACTGGACAGACTCTCGAAGGGGCAGTCCTAGAAGACTCTAGACCTTCCTACTTGCCCTTTCGGTACTGTAGCAGCTACGACTAAGATTGACCTTTCAGACCTACAGCAGCTACGACCAGACATAAGCTACGACTCCTACCCCACAGGTAAGCAGCTCGAACCTACTCAACCACCGTATGTACAACAGCCTTAGACAGACAACTTTAGGGGCAGGTCACGGGTTCAAACCTAGATGGGGCAAACTATACCATACACGGGTTCGGGGCAGGTCTAGGGATCGAGCCCTGGGATCTGCATCTGCTACCAGGAAGGTGAAAACCGTTTCAAAGAAGAAGAAGAAGAAGAAGAAGAAGAAGGTCCAAGACCCGGGATAGGGAAGTCACCTTCTGAGGGCACACTCACGATAGGCCTTTTTTACTTATATTGTGGTCAGATGCATTCGGATCCGGCCGAAAATGCCATCAGATACATTTAAGATCGATCGAGGTAGTGTGAGTATGCCCTGGCAGGGAAAAGGGCGCCAAGAGCATTATACAAGGAAGAAAACAGAACAAAAGGCCACCCTCTTATTTTGTATGTAATTTCTTTATTATAATATAATAATGATATATCTGAGATCAGAGGGCGGGCATCCCCCTGGTCCTATGTTTGTGCTATGCTAGCATAAACCTGGACATAGCACATATCTGGCCATTTTCATGGCTTCCAATTTTTATTTTATTTTATTTTGTTTTACATCTCCTTCCAATGTTGTCTTTCTCGATAAGGCTTAACCAAAAGAAAAACTAAAAACCCCTTAGCTCCCCAAATACCTTACACCCTTAAAAGTTAAAAAACCCTACATGCCCTAAAGCCCCTAAAACCCCTTAATACCCTTAAAACCCTCAATCCCTTGTAAAGAAGCATTTTCAGAAGGGTTGCATTTGTTTTCTAAAAATAAATCATAAAAAGGCTTACAGTTCTTGCAGCCCTCGATGTCTAAGAGCGTTTGATTAAATAAAAAAGGGTGAAAAAAAGACCGTCTGGATTCTTAAACCCCTTCTACTTGCCTCTTCTTGAGCACCCCCTGCCCTTCTCTTAAAGACCACCTCACCCCCCTTGGATTTTATTTGATTATTACTTTTTCCCAATGATTCAATTTCTTCTTGGCGCCACACCACATCCTCAAC